CAGTGAACCAACCAATGAATTGTTATGTCTGATTCCCTAGAAGCAGACGTAACGATTCGATATAATAGTTCTATTTCAAGTTGAGGGAAAGCATGGGACCGGGAAGGCGCAAACAGATACTCTCCTGGGGTTTACTGTCAGCCATGATGATGGAAGGCAAAACATGTTATTTAATTGTGTTTAATAGAGAGCAGTTTCGGTTTGGAGGCGTAACAATTTACAAGCCATTCCTTGCCCAACTTAATAACTGATTGGAGGTCATTTTCGTGAGAAGCTGCCAGTTCTACTTTGTTGCACTTGACAGGTGCAAATAGTTGTGTCATCTGTATAAATACCTAGATGACAACGGTCGGCATCGGGAAGGTCGTTGATGAAGATCAGAAACAACGTAGGCGTAAGGATCGAGCCCTGAGAGACTACCGCATTAGAAACGTGTTTAATATAGCTAATGTTCCGGTGAACGGATATGCAACTGGTGTAAGTGTTAGCTGTTCTTCATTCATGTATTACATAGTAGAGTAGACTGTGGTCTCTAGCCTTCTATGATAACCAGGCTATGAAAGTGTTGTGGGGCTCTCCCCTTTTTACATAAGATGGACTCGTCCAAAGTATACTTATACTGACAGAGAGAATACCTGCTGTTACCTGCTGTACGTTGAGATACAGTCTCGACATCTGTCGAACTCTCTGCTTTGGCAGAGAGGAACCCGGGCGAAGCTTTGCCGAAGGGCAAGGTTTCGTCCGGGAAGGTAGACAGGCCTTGAACCCGTCTAGGCAGGTTCAAAGGGTATATTTTTGGCCGAGCCTACGGGCTAGGAGAAACCCACTTTAAACTTGGACTTGTGCCACATATATTCCTCGTGGGTGCGATATTAAATACCGAGATACGTTGAGATACGTTGAGACAGGTTGAGAGATACGGAGACAAACACAGAGTGTTCTCAGAGAGTTATATAAGAGTCCAGAAAGAGAGATAGATGATTACAGCTTTGCTTACAGAGACTTGTACATATACTTTCTACTAACCCGCATTCCTGGACTACTAATCTTCACTTCAAGTCTGTATTCTTACGTTTAATACACTTATTTTTCTATCTCAATTACTGGTGTTGTTTATTTATTTGTGCAGGATTCCATTCACGGAATCCACAACAGAAAGGAACACATCTCAATTCATTCATGAGGACGGTTGGAGTTCCGATTCGGTCGATAAAGGATTCTGATTAGATCTAATGATTGTAAAAATGTCTAGAAAAAAGCCCAAAAAAAACTATTCCACCTAAACCTCTAAAACTGTTAGACATAGGTCATAGATACTAGGTTTGTATAACAAAAAAAAAACACTACTACTATTACTACTAGAAAGACTAGTCACAAATCAATAATAATGACAAGGCTTCATCTAAGGAATTCACACAAGACTACCACTACTACTACTACGAGTAAAGAAACAAGAGAAATAAGATGACAGAAAGACTAGTCACAAATGGATAATAATGACAAGGCTTCATCTAAGAAATTCACTCAACTTACAAATAAACTAAATAAAAAAGTTAACAGGTGAAAGATGCAATAAAGTTTGTAAAGGACCCAAGATTAATATTAAGGCTGGTGACAAATATTCTATAAATCTTGAATCTTGACACAAAATTTTTAAACAAAGTTGTCAATCTCTGACAACACCAAGACAGGATGAGATAATGAAACTTTATATATGGTCAATAAGAGTCAAACAATAATTATTTACATCCGGGCTAAGTAACAGTCTAACTCTCTGCCTTCGGGCAGAGAAGAACCCGGATGAGACTACGCCGAAGGGTAGAGTCTCGTTTGGGGTGGTTGACTGCTCCTGAACCCGTTTATGCGGGTTCAAAGAGGGTATATTTTCGGCCGAGCCTACGGGATCGGAAATCCCACGTTAAACCCGGCCTTGTGCCATATGTAACCCTCGTGGGGGGGTAGCTAAATACATTTACATGGGAACTTTTGTTGAGAAAGTTTCAAAATAATATCAAGCTCAAGCACAAGGGAGCTGTCTTCCCAAGCAGTGCATCACCTTTGTGGGTAGGCCGGGTTTATTGCGTGATGAAAAAAAAAAAAAACAAAAAAAAATAAATAAATAAAAAAACAACAACAGCAAAAAGAACACGATAGACACTATATGCTGGCGCTGGGTGGATTAAGAAAATGAGTTTCATTTTACGTCATTTCATCAGCAACGCTAAATGAGGACATGACATAATATGCAATGTAATTATAGCTTTTTCCTAAAGGTACGTTAATTTTGACTCAAGTCTGTAAGTAACGGGGAGCTTGTTGGAACTGAACACGCTATATAATATTAATGATTTGAGAAACATGCTCGTTAATCGTTGAACACGCCAAGCCCGTCAGACACTGTAATTATATAAAGAGGAAATATTGTCAGATATACGAGTCCTGGTTAAAAAGTTAACCCTGTTCTCGTTGCCGTTGGCGGAACTGATTGAGATTTAATTCTGTGCGAAATTAGTGCTATATTAGGGTTGAAGAGACGTCCGCAGCCAATCGCCTGGTAGGATAGTATGCTTATGTGGATGGGGAGCAGTGGATCTTCTTTCGGATTCTTCCTCTCTTTTATTTATCTTCTGATGTTTTCGAAAGATCTTGTTATTTTTTTTTTCGTGTGTTGTTCTCTAATTGGTTCTTTTTTCGGCTTCCGTGTCCCAATTGACCGGATCGATTTCTGTCCCCCAGCAAGGTGTTTTTCAGCTGATCCTTGAATCGACAACGTGGAGCTCAACATGGCTCTCTTGCCATATGCGAGTTCCGAGAAGAGGATTCGTTCTGATGGGTGGGTGGATGTCTAGCATTCGGGCAAGGTGTCTCGGTCCATTGAAGCCGGTGGCGAGCCATGATGGTTTCTGAACTTTCCATCCTTGCTCGGAGGAGAATTTCGTTGTGATCTGGTCCTGTCACGTATTTTCGTAGGATTTGTCAAGGTGTCATTTGATGTAAAAGTATTAGAGCAATTTAATGTAAAAATATTAGTGAGGAGTTTTGTTCATTTTTGTCTGTTTAAACCATAAAGTATCGTAGAGACTAAGGTGAAATTGTGGATGGAATTGTGGACGTAATTTTCTTTCAAAAATGTCGTCCGTGTAAACATACGTGGAAAATAAAAGTTTACCATAGAATTTCTCTTTCTAGAATGAGAAATACTAAAAAATATTCATATATATTTTTTTTTAGAAAGGATGCACTTGATGCAAGTATGATAAGGGTCTGTAGAAATATCTATCAGGCCATATTTATTTTTAATTTTCCACCTTTTTCAAATATTATGAATTGGTTAACTCACCAAACTGTTCTGATGATATTGTGTTTCTTTTATTGTAAATAGACTTTAATTATTATTAAAATTATATACACTGGTAATATCTATCAACATATCGTAAAATAATTATTTTCATCACCTTCTGTAAAACAAAGTCAGATGTGAGGGAAATCATACAATGATTTTGGTTTGGTTTGGTTTGTTTTACGGCATATTAACATCAATGGGTTATTTAATGCTTACAAAATTTTTATTCCTGGTAATATGTTTCTCTTCAAAAATCTATTTCTGGGAATATTTTCCTTGAAGAAATCTATATCTGGTCATATTTTTTTCAAAGAATTTATAACTGTTTGTCTAGCTGGTATTTTTGTTTTTGAAGTATTATTCCTAATAATTTTTCCTTCAAAACATTTGCTGGTAATAACTTCTTTTTATTACAAAGTATTTCTGGTATTAAAACCTATTTTTACACAAGTTTGGGTGTCAACTATTTGCCCATAGCTGGGACCCCTAACAGGTGCTACCACCCCGGGTCAGGGTGGACATGGGAACACCAGCAATTAAGAGGTGGTTCCACACTCCTCAAAACCGCCTGATCAGAGCCTTGCTGCTGGACGTAGTTTATCGTCTTTCCCAGGACGCATATGTAGTTTATCGTCATACCCAGGACGATCATAGAAATTTATAAAAAAAAATATTTCTCGTCTCAAATTCATTGCTTTGCTTCAAGTATTTTCAGACATTTTTGAAATACAATTTGGTAAAATTCTGAACTTTCTGGTTGTATTAAAAAATTATATTTTCTATGCTTTTAATCAATTAGCATAAACAAAATGGCTGATTGTTTTTGCAATATCATCTAAACTATTCGTAATCTGTGGTGAATAAATTGATTTTTTTTATGCATTTACTTAGTAGAGGAGCTATGTTTTATTCGTTCTATGTATATTTACATTTAAGAAAATAAGTCAATAATGGTTTTAGTTGTATGGCTCACCCTAATAATGGGTATTGTTGTATATAAACTATGCATTACTCACAAGTTCCTTGCTAAAAACGTTCTCTTTAATTGTTATGTAATAATAATTTAGGTATCTACATCTTCGTCCCTACACGTAGGCGCCACAGAAAATACTTTACGGCAGAACACTGTTAAATCGTTCAACAAAGACGTTGTAATGTCCGCTGTTTCGTGCAGTTACTCGTTTATGTACAGGTATACACACATTGGTTCCCAAAATTTTGACATTCTGTGTTAAATTCACTCTGTGTAAGGAACATAGAGATATAAACCTAAGCCGCTTGCTCCACATACAATTGTCCCGCGAAAAGATAGCATAACACCTTAAAGTCTCGTTAATTCGTTCATATAGTCATTGTGAGTTCAATCTCTGGTTTGGCTAGAGTGTACTAGGACTCTGTGGAACAGGTGAGAAGCAATGAATGAACAGTCCTAAAATAAGAACTAGATGAGGTATCGCTGGACACAGTCAGCAGAAGGGGAACAATCTACCGCATGGATTAAATAAGTGGTTAAGTTCGACATTCCCTGAAGGTTACCCATTTCGAAACGTTGTGACAACATTAACAAAGACGATGATAATAGTCTTCATATAAATAATGTAAACAATACTAACTCCTCATCTAATGAATTTAGAAAGATGGGTAGATAGACAGCAAATCAACAGACTGAGATAGATAGATAGATAGATAGATAGATAGATAGATAGATAGATAGATTACATGAGATAAAAACATATTGACATGAGCAGAAATGTAGATAGATAGACAGAGAGATAGAGAGATAGATAGAAAGAAAATGGATAGACAGATGCATAGATATATACATAGAATATGAACAGATAGATAGATAGATAGATAGATAGATAGATAGATTACATGAGATAAGAACATAATGACATGAGCAGATAGATGGATAGATAGATAGATAGAAAATCGACAGACAGATGCATAGATATATACACAGAAAATGAACAAATAGATAGCTAGATAGATAGACTACATGAAATAAGAACCTACTGAGATGGACAGAAAGGTAGATAAATAGGATCAGAATTAGATAGATAGATAGATAGATAGATAGATAGATAGATAGATAGATAGATAGAAAATGAACAGGCGGACCAATCCATAGATACATAGAAAATGAACAGATTGCGATAGATAGATAGATTACATGAGATAAGAACATGCTGATATAAGCAGATAGATAGATAGAAAATGGACAGACAGATGCATAGATATATACATAGAAAATGAGCGGAGTGCGATAGATAGATAGATAGATAGATAGATAGATAGATAGATAGATAGATAGATAGATGGAGAAATGGACAGACAGAGAGATGCATAGATATATACATAGAAAATGAACAGACTGCGATAGATAGATAGACAGATAGATAGAAAGATAGATAGATTACATGAGATAAAAACATACTGTTATGAGCAGAAGGGCAGATAGATAGATAGATAGATAGATAGATAGATAGATAGAGAAAATGGACAAACAGATGCATAGATACATACATAGAAAATGAACAGACAGCGATAGATAGATTACATGAAATCGAACATACTGATACGAGCAGAGAGAGAGAGAGAGAGAGAGAGAGAGAGACGGAGAAAATGGACAGACCCCAGATAGATAGATAGATAGATAGATAGATAGATAGATAGATATTAATAGAGATGAACAGATTCCAACAGAGATAGATAGATAGATAGATAGATAGATAGATAGATAGATAGATAGATTACATGAAATCGAACATACTGATATGAGCAGAGAGAGAGAGAGAGAGAGAAAGCGAGAGAGAGAGAGAGAGAGAGAGGGAGAAAATGGACAGACCCCAGATAGATAGATAGATAGATAGATAGATAGGTTACATGAGATAAGAGCATACTGAGATGGAGGGGACGGTAGATAGATAAAACCAGAATTAGTAAATGAACGGACTAATAGATATGAGAATCAGATAAAACGGTTTAAATGATGAAATGAATTAAAAAAGAAAAAAAAAGCTAGTTTAAATATTTTAATGACGGAATAATTGTATTATAAATACATGTGAACGAAGGATACTGTTAAAAAAAGATTAGAAAACATTTGCTTCCCTTTAATAAATTACTGCCAAATACCAGCTCTTCCCATCCTCAGAGAAAGCTGTCATGAAAGAGCCGAAGGGAAAAGGAATCCGAAAAATCTCACAGTATGAAACCAAAACCGTACGACACTTAAAATATTAATGAATGTAATCCGACTAAAAGCCACTTAGCAATTAGACGAAAAGGTTGCCTCATAGACTCATTTATTCGGTCCAATAATCTTCCTATGCGAAGCGAGAGTCGACTGCTATTAATAGGATTGAAAAATGACTTCATTCGCTCTAAAACGCAAATGAATTATGCAGATTATTTACAGTGACTCTCATGTTAAGTCATTTTAATTTTTCCGAATTCAGAGAAAACTGATGAACGGAAGGATAGGAAATAGTTGCACTAATAATGCACAATATGCATATAGCGTAATATTTATCGACTGGTAAGTCGAGGTCAGTGGTGTGTCGAGTCCAAAGGCGTGTCGAGGTCAAACGCGGTTCGAGGTCACTTTGGCACTAATTCGATCGGAAATGAAAGATATCCATCTTTTCACTTAACAGCTAATAGTTAAATAGCAGAATAGATTGGGATATCTCGATTTAGTATGTAACTCGTCTAAGAGAAGGACTTCTCTGAATATAAAAACTTTGGAGAAGGCAACGGGAAAATGTCCCACTATATTTCTCAAGAAGTCATGGCAATTCACGGATAATGAATAAAAGAATTCTCTGAGGACTATTCTGTATTCCAAACAGTAGAGAAGGCAACGGGAAACCACTCCACTGTCTTTCCCAAGAAGTCATGGCAATTCACAGATAATGAAGAAAAGGAATCTAGGATAAGAATTACAGTGAATGCAAACCGTGAAAAATGCAATGGGGAAACCATAACATATTAAAAAGAAATCTACAGGATATCTAATATCAATTAAGTCTATCATCGCAACTATGTGGCCACAATTTTATCCTCGTATGTGGCCACAATTTTATCATCGTACGTAGCCACAATTTTTACATCGTATGTAGCCACAATTTTATAATCGTATGTAGCCACAATTT